CCAGAGGAAAGTTACTCTGATGAATTCTTCTGACGTCTTAAACTGCCCCTCCTGTTGTTGATAGGATAGTGTACTCCATGATGATGGTTGGCAAAGTCAGACAAAAGCAGCCTCTTAAATTTCAGTGTCAGAGGCCTTAAGCAGTGGCTTAGGAGAGAGCAGGGACCAAGCAGCAGGCTGGACCCTGGGATGGAAGAGCTCCTGCTTAGAAAAAACTTCGCCCCGGAGCCCTTCTTCAGCAGGGATGTGTCCAGGGACGCTGCACTGGGCTGGCATCTTCCCAGGAGGAGGAGAGCACAGGCGCGCCTGCTTCCTCAACCAGCCCTGAAGATGTGGGGCTGCCTCTGGCCCTGTCCAGCTCTGTGTGGGCTGCAGACTCTGTCCCAGGAAAGCTGGGCATCCGACAGCCAGCGCTGGGTTTCCTCCAACTCCTCAGCCCTGTCCTAGCCCAGGGGTAGATCTTGCACAGGTGACTGTCCTATGGCCAGGATGCTTGCAGCAGTCTGCCCCTGGGACCAGGGTCCCTTGTTTGTGTGGCTGGACGCTGTCAGCAGGGCTAGACTAGGTTTTGCTTTTTGTTTTGAGACAGGGTCACACCACACAGTTCAGGCTGTCCTTGAACTCACTATGTAACCCAAGCTGGCCTCAAACTCATAGTGATCCTCCTGCCTCAGCCTCCTGAGCTGGGGTTATAGGTGTGGGCCACCACACCAGGCCTCACCAGCTGTTATTGACTCTGGAACCCAGGCTGAGTCTTGAGATGCCGGCTCTATTTCTGTCAACCAGAGCACACAGAATGATGGGTTTTCTTACTCATTCAAACCCAACTGAAGGGGGAAAATGGTGAGAAAACCCATTTCCTCTTCAACAAACATCCCCTCTGACTCACGCAATCATCCAAAAAGAGGCGGTTGGTGGGAGGGGAAGTAGAGGTGTCCTTTTGACCTGGCCTTGGTGAGGGCGAGCTGGAGGGAGACTTCCTGTTCCTCTGCTCTTGGTACCATCGGGTGACCAAACACCCACTACAGCATAAGTCACTCTCCTCCCTGCAGGTGCCCTAGCACACTGCCCTCGACCTGGGCTGTGTGGATGTCCCATCGCAGGTGCCATGGCCCAGGCCAATTCATTGCCAATTCAACTAAAAGCTGTTTTTTGGAGACACTGTTTCACTCTGTAGTACAGGCAGGCCATGAATTCAGTAGGTAGCCCAGTCTAGCCGTGAACCAGTGATCTTCCTGCCTCAGCCTCCTAAGTACTGAGGTTGTAGGTGTGCACCAGCTAAAAGCTTTCAAGAATAGACATTAAACCAGTGGTTCCTAAATTGTACCACATATTAGAATCACCTGAGAAACTTAGATAATGTCAGTGCAGTGATCTGATGCAATGCAGGTTTTTGGTGGTTGTTTTTTTAAGATCCCTGGGTGACTGCAATGCAGTGAAGTTTGCGAACAGCTCTGTGAAGACTGCCTCAGCCTCCTGAGCTGGGGTTATAGGTGTGGGCCACCACACCGGGTGGTTGTTTTTGTGGTGCTGTTGGTGAGTGCTGGCACTATCCCAGGGGGAGCATTTGTTTGTTTCTCATTCACTCCTTTGTGCATGAATAGTCAACAAAGATCTGCCATGAGCCGGGCCCTGTGGTAGGATCTGGGGATACAGCGTGACCCATGCAGTCTGGGCTAGCTCTGGTGGAGCTGATACTCTAGTGAGAGAAGTCAGATGATAAGCAGATGGATGAATGACGTGCATGACGCGTGCTATGAAGAAAAGCAGTGCGGGGTGGTGAGGGACAGAGAGCGCTGGGGGCAGGAGGACTAAGCTACCCTTTCTGGGAGGCACTGTGCACCCCTGCTTGGTGCCCACACTTCCTCCTGCTCTCTGCAAACAGCTCTCATCCTAGGTGACAGGGCCCAGCAGGCAGCACCAGGGCATTTGATGCTCAGGACTCCCTGCTGCCTTTCTCTGTATAAGCAGCTTCTTGGCCGCAAGTGGAACTGTCTGCGAGGCAGCAGAAACTAATTAAGGGTGAGATAAGAGTGGGCAGTTAAGGGCCGCCCTCTGCTCTCCAGTGTGCCCGGGGAGCAGGCACCCTCTGTCCAGTTCAGCAGGTTCTGAGCAGTAGCAGCTCAGGCCATGGCGCTGGGATTCGCCCACATGTGCCTCTGTGACATCACCTAGGGAGCGCCTGGCCCTGTGGACGGACTCGAGGACAGCCTTCTGCTCCAAGCCTGGGTGAGGGTGGGGCGGGGTACTACTCCCTGGGTGCGGCCTCGTGCCCCAGTTCCAGGCCCAGAGAGACACGCGGTGGCACTTCCCTGGGTGCCCCCGGAGGAGGTGAGCAGGGTAAGGCCAAGGTTCCGGGAGTGGAGACGGGCAACAGGCTTTGTTGCTTCCAGAAGTGTTCCGTGGAACTCATCACCTCCGAAAGCAAGAAAGGGCCCTGTGGGTGAGTGGGCAGGTGATTCGTGACGCCCCTTGGAGATATGACGGTGATCCTTTGCGGGAGAGAATCCTGGCTGCTGTTCTAAGGCCGTCAGGTTTGGACAGAACCTTCTCGCTTGACATTTAGCAACAGGAGAACTTGGCGTTCTGGGAGGAGCACGTAGGGGAGACCGTGTGCCAGACTCCCGCGCACACAGGAGGCGTTATCACCTTGGTTTTCAGGATACAACAGCAGTGCTCGCTTCGGCAGCACAAATACTACAGATACAGCAGCAAGTGCTTGCATAGCCTGTGATACAAACCCACCCGCCAACCTTGTGGAGCAGGTATCACCCCGCTGTACAGGTGGCTTTGAGAGCACTTCCTGGTCCTCGTCAGGTCTGGGAAGTTTATGTTTATAATTCCATGGAAAAGTTATTGGACTTCTAGCGAGTTCATTCCCATCTATCACCACCAGTGCAACACATGGCCAGAATAAGGACGCTAAGGCGTATTTGTAGCTGTGGAGAGCCAAGGGGTCCTAAGCCCAGCTACGATGATGGCTAATCAGAACAAAGGCCTCCACTCAGGGCCGAACCCAGCTTTTATTAATTCCTGAAGAGGGGAGTGGCTCGAGGATGAGTGACTGTGAGAAGGGTGGGAAATAACTGAGCCCAGGGATGAGCCGGGCTAGGAAGATGGTCTGAAATCATGTCTGCAATCTGCAGAGCGAAGGATATATGCAGACGGCGTAATCTGCATAACATAATTTGAGGTAGTACCTCATGTTTTGGGGCGGTGCTTCAGCTGTGATGTGTAATTTTTTATCCCCTGGGAAGTCATAGCCTCTTATCTTGGTCCCAGCCAACAGCACGGAGCGTTGTTCTCCCTCCCAGCCAGCTCACACGTCTTTTGGGAGCTATGGGACCGGGTAACACTGACCTGTTGCCTTGCTTCAAAGACTGCGCATCAGCACCTCAGCTGGGCCGATGTGCATTGCCGAAAGCCAGTCAAAGGGATAAGGAAGAGTCCTAGCCAGCTCTGCACACATCAATACATGGGAATAGGGCCAGGTTTAGCCAAAATGGAGATAGCTTCTGTTCTTTCAAGGAGAATCACCCCGGTCCTCCACAAATGGGACAGCAAGGCTCAGAGAGGCTACTGGAGGAAGCCCAGCAACACCTAACCACCTATCCAGAAGAACAGAGGCTCGGGCTGGGCAGGTGCCTTGCCCAAAGTGACCGTGATGAAACCCGCCCCTCCCTCACTCAGTCACGAGTGCACTTGTTTACTCAAATGACATCACCGGGCAGAATGCGCAGGCCGGGCACCGCGCTGCCGCTGAGGACAAACAGCCGTGCCCCTGGAGCAGCGAGTGCTGCTCTTCTCCCCGCAGCCCTCCTGAGCCCCGGGACAGTGCTGGTGCCACGTGCCCTACAGTCATCCGTGAACACGCGGGTGTCAGAGGTGTGCACTCCCCAGAGGCCCTGTGCCCAACAGAGGGTCCACCTCGTCCCAATAGCTTCACGTCCCCCTAGCCGTGGGCTCCTATCTATGTACGATAGGTGGAGAAGCTTTGGGGCCCCACACCCAGCTCCTTCCGTGGCCCCACAGCCGGACCTATGGGCTGTGCTCGCTGTGGCGTCACCCCCAAATTCCCCCCAGAGCAGCTCCCCGGCAGGAGTGCCAGGAGACCCTCTGAGACCTACCCCTGCCCCTCCTCACGGCTGTGTGGGCTCCCTGCCTCCTGGTTCTCAGCCCGCAAGGAGGCTCCTGTCTTCCACAAGGGACGCACCAGGGCATTGTCCCTTATTTCAGAGATTTATTCCTCACTCTTAGGCAAGGATGGTTACAGACCGATACAACTTTACATCGTTTATCCAGTTAAAAGACACAGACTGAAGGGTTTGAGATTCTACTTTGAAAGCAAACACAGCCCACGACAATTACCTCCTGAATTATCTTTGTGAGACTAGAATGAAAAACACCCCAAACCCACAACAAACAAGCCACCCAACCCCTGGCACCGCAGAGCTGCAGGCTCTGCCCCGGAGAGAAGGCGGTGGGCCCAGGAGACGGCAGTCTCGTGGCCAGGCCTGGGGTGGCTCACTCCCTCAGGCCCGCCCGAGTCCACTCCTGAATAAACAGAGGCCGCAGCGGCGCTGGAGACCTGCTCGGGACGCTGGGTCCGCCCGTCTCGGGCACACGCCCAGTCTCAGGCACACATGCCTCCTTTGTGGCTCCCCTTTCCGGGCTGGGCTCGGCAAAGGGAAACCAAAGGCGCCTGCCCTGGGACACTGAGCCAGTGTTCCTCCCACTTTGGGGAAACCACAGCCCGGCCACCGCCCGGCGCCTGAAGGAGCTGCTGTGTTCAGGTGGAAACTGAGGGGGACCCAGCCCGCAGGAGGCCTGGGCTAGGGGAGAGAGGCTGCTCAGGGTACCCTAAAAAGAAGCCTTTCTTCCAGGCGAAGTCCCCTGCTGTCCCCACTAGACCACAAGGCCACGTTCACGGGCGTGGGCCCCCTGGTGCCTGCGCAGCAGCGGCTGCAGCCCCAGCTCTCTCTGCATCACCCGTCACTTACCAGCGTCTCCCAGCCCGGCTCCTCGGTGACCAGCAGCACTGGTAACAGTCCCATCCGCCCTCCTCATCTGCAGTATCCATGTTCTACAAAGTTGCCTCCAATCCTGAATCATCAGCCCTCCCCGAACAACTGCTCCTAAGAGAAACATCCTGCTTGAGTCCGGCGAGCCATCACACGTTTGCCAAGCAGTGGTGTATAACCCTGTTTTATGCAGGTCTCTGTTTAGAGATGCCTTCTACATATATGACACAGATTCATTAACATGGAACTCATGAGCAGGGGCACTGTAACTCATTCCTGCCTGGGAGAAGCTCCTTTGACGTGTTCTTCTTCACAAGGCACATCGCAGCTTTCCTGCCCTTAGGAACCCAGACGGCACTTGGGGGTCATTTGAAGTAGTGAAACCATCAGCTGGGAAGGGTGGCGCAGAGCCGTAATCCCAGTGACTCAGGAAGCTGAGGCAGGAGTATTGCAAGTTCAAGCACAGTTTGGGCAATTCAGTGACTTACTAAGACTTTCTCAAAAACCAGAAGTGGGGCCGCTGAGAATGTAGCTCCTGGGTTCAATACCCATACTACAAAAAAAAGTGAAATCACCAATAAAAAGATCAAAAATGAAGAAAAGATGGCATTAAATAAGCCCGAAGAGAAACACTCATTTGCAGTATGAGAGCGGAAATGAGAAGGTAGCCTGTCAGCCTCAGCTGCCAAAGTGTGGCTTAAATTGCCGTCACTGTAGAACGTCTCCAGATGACCACAAAGCACTGCAAGTATTGATTATGGACTCTGAGCTTTGCAGATACACAATGTGTACATCATGAGGATCCCCGTACCTGCGTGACAGGATTGAGGGCGGGAGTGGGTCATTAAATGATACGTATGGGAGGAATTATTAGCTACTAGCTGTTGCTAAGCAGCAATAACTCAATGAATATTTTTACTGTGGCTATATTATTATTATTATTATTATTATTATTATTGTATTGGGAATTGAACTCAGGACCCTGAGCTTGCCAGGCAGGCACTGTGCCGCTGAGCTTATATCCCTAGACCTACTGTGGCTATTATTACTTGCTGAACATACCACAGCTTTATATATATATATTTTTTTTTTTTTCCCAGTTTTTTTTTTTTTCCAGTACCGGGAATCGAACTCATGACCTCACGCTTGCCAGGCAGGCACTGTGCCACTGAGCTAAATCCCCAGCCCTATATATATATATGATGGCACTCTTTAAATTTATTTACTTTCTATTTTTTGGTATCGGGAATTGAACTCAGGACCTTGTGCTTTCCAGGCAGGTGCTGAGCTATATCCCCACCCCCATACCACATCCTGACACCTTTGCTGTTCCCTTTCCTTGCACTTTTTCCATCGCATGAAGCCCAGAGCCAGGTTTGAGTCTCACCTGTGCCGGTGCCAGCTGGGAGGCCTTCTGGTTGCGCTGGTCCTGTGCCCAGCGTGCTGCCTGCTGTTCCCTTGCAGCTGCTGAGGGTGCTTTGTGAAAGCAACCAGAAGAGCCCCGTTCCCTGGGTCTGCACGCCTGCCGGTCCACGGCCGCCGCTCTGCCTCCCTGCTGCTACACAGCTTGGCTCCTCAATGGACCCTGATATTCAGGCTCTCAGCTACACCACTTTGAAAGTTCCTTGCTCCCGGATCCCCCCACAGGACCTCTGCAGATTATGCTCTGGCTTTAAAGATCCCCCGACTCGGGCTAGGAATCTAGCTTGGGGGCTACAGCACACACCACAGGCTTAGAAGGCACAAGGCCCTAGCGTCAATCCCCAATGTTGCAAAACACAATAAAAAACGCCATCCACTCAGAAGCAGTTGAAATGAACGAACGAGAACAGGATCTTCTCCTACCTGAACAATCACCAGTGTGTCTGGCCCAGGGGCCGCTCCTCTAACACAGGCTTGCCTTGGCTCTGGGGCACCGCCCTCCTGCTTTGTTCCTTCCCAGCACTGACTCCTCAGCCCGGGCTGGCTCCTGCCCTCCCTGGCCTCTTCTTTAGCCCCTTTCCTTCTCTTCCTTGGGGAGCCCGTGGCTTTCAATTCCATCAAATACTGCTGTCGCCGCTGTGCTTATGTCCAGCCTGGGCCTCTCCCCTGAAGGCCGGACTCCCAAGCCTTGGAGGAGACTGTCTGCTGACTATCAGCAGTGGCTCTGGGGCTGCACAGGGAGAGGTGCGCTGCGCTTGTGCTACAGCAGGGCCTCAGCTGACCCCATGGGGGCTCTGGAGCTGTGCTGAAAACAGCCAGGGGACAAACACTTGTGTCCCCACAGGGACCAGAGGGGAGATCCCCCAGGAGGAGCTGTGATCCTGGGGAGGGTCTGCTGCAGCCAGCCCTTCCTGCAGGAGGTGGGACCCCTCACCACAGCTAGTGGGAGGCGTCTTGGGTTCACATGTCCACAGCCTAAATGCCAAGGTTCCCTCAAACCTGCTGCTTCCTCAGTCCCCAGAACCCATCCTGCCTCAGCAAATGAGTCCACCCCTCACGCAGGAGCTCAGGCAAGAGCCTCAGAGCAGCCCCAGACGAGTGCCTCCCCCAGCAGTAAGTCCTGCCACACTCAAGTTGCCACCAGCCCAGACCACACTGCAACCTGCTCCCCGCATGAGCAGCCACCGGACGGGCTTCCCTAACGCCAGTGCTGTCTTCATGTACACACCGCACGGAGCTCTTTGAAACACCAAGCAGGACAGCAGGGGTGGTGACACACATCTATCACCATAGCCACTCGGGAGGCTGAGGCAGGAGGATGGCAAATTTGAGGCCAGCTTAGGCAACTTAGGAAGAACCTGTCTCCAAATAAAAAATAAGAAGGGCTGGGGATAGAGCTCAACGCGAAGGCCCTGGGTTCAATTCCCAGTACTGCAAAAAACAAACAAAAACTACACAGAAGACCAGAGGCAGTGTAGTTCAGTGGTAGAGTGCTTTTCCAGCACATGGTATTTCATCTCCAGTGTGGCAAAAAGAAAAAAAACAAAACAAAACAACCGCCAAACAGAGCTTTGCTCCTTCCCTCTGAAAGCCTCTCCTAGCCCCGCCTGTGCGCTCTGGCATCCTGCCCAGCCCCTTCCATTCCTCCCACCCAGCCACAGCCCCGTTCTTGCCGATTCTTCCCTCTTTGTCCCACCTCTGAACCTGCTCGCCCCACCTTCAAGGCCTCCATTCTCACCGGCCACATGCTGTGCTCCTGTCACCTGTCACCTCCCCTCCCAGTGAACAACGCCTGCCATGGCCCTCCGCCCTTTGCTGGGGCTTTAGTTCGCAGCGCTCATCTCCTCGCATCTGCACCACCGCCGCCCTCCGCGTTTTCAGTCCTGCCTTCCCCCCTTGGAACACAGGCACTCTGGGACAAGGTGCCCGTCCCTCCGCGGGCAGGTGTGTCCCCGGTGCCCACCCAGCTCCACAGGAGGAGGGCACAGCTGCGCTTCGCTCCGAGGCACAGGCGAGGATCTGAGACGACACGTGCTGGGTGGCAGGGCAGCATTCAGGAGCGAGGCTTTCGAAATAACTTCCATGGTGTGTACTTCAGGTATGTAACACGATGTCACAAGACACAGATATAGTAAAGCGGTTGCTGCAGTGGAACAAGTGACTAGCATCTCATATAGTCACCACTTTCCACCCTGTGCAAGAGCAGCTATCTTCTACTCATTCAGCAAAAACCCTGAGCACACAGGCTGGGGTGTGACTCGGGGTAGAGCCGTGTCTTAAGGCCCTGGGTTTGATCCCCGGCACCCCACACCCCACAAACACAGTACACTCTTTTTAGCTACAGTTTTCATGTTGTACATTTGCTCTTTAGACTTGTTTGTTCTGTCTCCTCGCTGCTTTGTAGCCTTTAACCTACTTCCCCCACCCGCCCAGGTAGCCTGTTTTATTCTCCATCTGTATATGTTTTATATATTTGACTTTTCTTTAAAGAGTCCACGGGTGAGATCATGCACTGTTTTCCTTTCTGAATGAAGCTTTATTACGATTGCCGTGACTCAGCTTTCAAGGCCAGTGTGACTGTCAGCATGTCCCATCCCCACGCCTGCCCCACTACGCGAAGCCGCGAAACTCCTCGAAGACACCGGGCCTGGCCTGGCCCTGGGCAGCGCTCAGCCAGGGCCCAGAGACCTGGCCTCAGGTGAGCAGGTTCTTTCCTGCTTTATGAAGCAGCTTTGAGGGCTTCAGTCAAAGCACCTCACCACCTGATAAGGCCACCTGCTTTCAGGTCAACTTAAGTGCCAGGGGAGGGTGCAGCTGGGGGTTCCCATCTGCTCACCTGGCACCCAGTGGTCACATCTGTGAAATGGGGCTAAAAGTACCTACCCCACAGGATTGTTACAAGGGCCCCTCAGTGACACATCCCAGTACTTGGCAGAACAGGGCACAGAGCAGGTGCTTAAGAAGTGTTTGTCCCTGTGCTTCCCACGCCCAGTCCACCTGCTTCTCTTTGCCAGGCATTCCTCTCAGCCAGGCCTGCAGGGCAGCACAGCCATAAGCTTGTTTTCTGGTTACTGGCTTGGCCCGGCCCAGTACGTAGGCTCTTCTGCTCCTCCACTTGTCTGAACTCAGACCTTCGTCTCCTGGGGCGAACACATCTCTATCAGTTCCCCTTCTGGGAAGAAGTGGGAGGAGCCAGAAGCCAGGGGAGCGCTGGGTTTGTGGCCGTGGGCCGGGCGTGTGCGCCTGTCCCCACCACGCAGGGCATGAGGACCACAGGGGGCTTCCTCAGTCCTGGACTCGGATGCCCTGGGGAAGTCACAGCCACCTTGACAGGCGGGCAGAGGAGGTGCCGGTGGGTCTCAGAAGCAGCGACGCTCAGGCCCTTAGCTTCTCCTAGGAATTGCCTATCAGTCTGTTCACTGACTGTCCCCATACCCCTCCAGATCAAAAGCCTTGCGGGGCCCCACACCCCAGGGCTCAGAACACCACCCGGCCGATGGTGAGCATCACATATCAGGTGAGTGAATGAGCAACTGGGCCAAGTGCACAGCACCTGGGACTACCTGGGCGACTCTGCAGCCCTTGAATGCTCACCCCGCCTTGACAGCAAGCAAGCTGGCGAGGGTCTTACTCCGCACTGGGTGCCACAAGTGTCAGCTCGTCTCACCCTTCACAGTCACACAGGTGGGCGCGGACATACCTGACGGTGGTGGCTGTGAAGATACCAAAGTGTGAGCTTCCTCGTGTGTGGGCCGGGGCCCTGCTGGTGTGTTCATGTGACCCTGTGTTCTGTCAAATTTGTCCAAGTAAGACAATGTGAGCTTTAAAACAATGTAAGAGCTTCGGGGTCCACACAGCCCGGGCCTACACAAGCATGCAATATTCTTCCCATTTCACAGACGATAAAGCTGAGCTCAGAGAGATAAGAAACCCATCGAAGGACACTGAGAACCAGGATTTGGATGCAGGCCTGCCTGTCTCCAAGGCTGCTTCCACTTCTGCACAGGCCTCCCAAATCAGGGAAAGAAGACCGGGACAGCGGTAGAGCGGGTCTGCGGAAGCTGTGTGAGATTCCGAGCAGAGATCAGGAGAGAGCAAGAGAAGTGGGGAGAGAGACTCTCTGATCAGGAGGGTCCCAAGTCTAGTGCCCCGAATCCTGAGCACCAGCTCCCTGGCATCAGATTCCTGCTACCTCTGACCATCTCCTCCCCAGCCCCGTCCCTGGTGACCCAAATCTACTGTTCGCCTTTCCAGCTCCTGAAAATGCAGAGTACAAACTGCAAGGGACCAGCCCAGCTCACCCTAAATAAACCTCCTCTCTGTCCCCGTCCCCTTCCTGGGCCCCTCCTTCGGGGCTGCATGGCCCAGCCCGTGTCTAATGCCAGCCTGGGGCAAACAAGAGCTGGCAGGCTCCCTCCAGGGCAGCCCCCCCTCCCAGCCACCCTGCGCAGGGCCAGTGTCGGCTGCCCAGGCTTTCAGTTACCTTCATTAGAATGGGCCCCGAGAGCTGGCCGGCGCTGACCGCTGGGCTGATTCTATCACAGCAGGGATGAAAGAAGAGAAAAAGAGTGAAACGGAGCCGCCTTTCTGCAGCTGCTGGGAGGTGGACAGAGGCGGCGGGCTGCGGGCAGTGTGCACGGCCCCCAACGGTCTTGAATGGCTTCGGAGCACAGCAACCCGAGGAGAGATGGGTCACAGAGCTCGTTCTGAGGGTGAGGATCCGTGGGACAGACTCCCCATGGTGGCCCTAGACCCAGCACAGCGCCAGAACCACTCAGAAGGGAGACAGAAACCAGAGAGGGACTGGGGTGGGGGCAGGGAAGGGGAGGCCCAGAGGCAGCAGCTTTCTCGAATCCAGGGAACAGACACAGAGATGGTGTGAGGAACCTGCCCGAGTGTCTTCTTCCCTGCACAAGGAGGCGGCCTTGGTGGCCCCAGGACAGCCAGGCTGGAAAACATCTCTTAGGCCCAAATCAGAGACTTTAAGTGAATTGTTCTGGAAAATGCAACCAAACCTTGGGTGTAAATAGACATTAGCATAGTGAATGTTGGGCTTTCAGGACTGCGGGTGGCAGCAGCCCTGGTGGCCCTGTGTCCCCGTGAGGGACTTTCAGGACCAAGGCAAGCTGAGCTGCTCTGGCTCTGCATGGGCAGCCACCTGGTTTCTGCTGACTGCCCACTGGCTAATGGGATTGGGGACTTTATCCTAACCCTGAGGGTGTGGGGAGGGAGCAGACCAAGCGGTCTGGCAGCTGGCCTGCAGGAGGGCGACGGCTCGGCATGCCCAGGCCGGGGCAGTGGGGGACAAGGGCAGACACCCGACCAGCTTTGCTACTCAGTGGCAGCAGGACCCAAGGAACATCTTTTAACCTCCCGGCATCACTTTCTCAGCCTATGAAATGGGCATTGAAGCCGACATTCAGACAGCACTCACCTTGCGCTGGAGACTAACCGAAATGCCTGTTTACACTAACTCTCCTACTCAGAACAGCCGGAGGAGAGGGAGGCAGCGCCTTCCTCAGCCTGCAGGCGAGAAGACAAAGGCGGCTGACCACAGTAGAGAAACACACTGAGGTCACACGAGGTGCGTAATTTGATCCCAGGCCTCCTGGGCCCGGGGTGTGTGACACAATACCGTCTCTGTCCCCTTCACCTGGGGCCCACTGCTGGCAGGTAGTTATGCCGGGTGAACGAGGTTGAGGCTGGGAGCCCTGGCTGGTGAATTCTGGTGCAGAACTAGAGAGGAGCGGCCCAGCACACAGACCTGGCCTTTGGAACTAGGGGAACAGCCCACAGTGGTGATCCTAGAATTCTGGTCAGGTCAGTGCTTGCCAAGGACACAGACTCCAGCTGCCTCCCAGATCCTGAGCTGGCCCCGGAGCCCGGGCACTGCACTTTGCACAGAGACATCAGCTTAGTGGGGAGGATGGTGGGCACTAACCCCATTCCTCCTAGTCACAGGGGGCAGGGGAAGACCTCAGGTCTGTTTGTTTGGTTAGTTTTTTGAAAAAGGGTCTCCACATGATACATAGTTCAAGCTGGCTTAGAACTCATTGTGTAGCCCAGGCTGGCCTCTAACTTCCAGCAATCCTCCTGCTTCAGCCTTCCAAGTGCTGAGATTATAGGTGTGTACTACCATCCTGGCCAAGACTTCAGATCTGGACCAGAGAACCCGGTTTTGGTCCAGTCCCAGGGTAGCCTTGGGGAAGTCCTGGTTCTTCTGCAACCTCGGTTTTCCCGTCTGGGAGATGAAAGTGCTGTACCCAATGGTCCTATCCTGAGACTGTGTCCCAGGCCTGGCTGAAAACACCCACCCCTTTTGTTCTCTGCTTGTTGCAATAGGCAGCAGTGCCGATGTCTCTTTGATCAGGGCTCCCAGAGGGAGGCATGAAAATAAAATACCCAAGACGGTAATAGCTGCCTTGTCGGGAGTGGGCCCACGCGGTGGGAAGGGGGCCACCTACGGTGGCCAGCACGATCAGGCGCTGCTGCTTGATCAGCCCAGGAAGGCCAGGGAGCCCGCTCTGGCAGCACAGGTCCCTCTAGCCACATGCAAGCACACACAGGTGGCCACCGACTGCAGGGCCAGAGAGGAGAGACAGACAGGAGGAAAGGGGCCTGCCGGCTGCCTCATCAGGATGGAGGGGGGTCCAGGGGGTTCCAGCGCCTCAGGCCTGAGATGCCTCAGCCAGCTGAGAACCATAGGCCTCCTGTGTCGTGCCAAGTACAAGGCCCCTTGATGGCCCCACTGGGCTCCGACCTAATGTCCACCACATGCCAGGCACTGTTTGGGACCGTTGCCTTTTTTATTATCTTATTCCTCAGCACACTAACCTAGCAGGGAACCAGTGTACCCAACTTACAGACAAGGAAACTGAGGCTCAGAGAGGCCAAAGGAGCAATGTGAGGTAGCGCAGCTGCCCAGTGCCAGGGCCAGGGCCACCACCCTCACGCCTGCCTGGAACCCTGGGCTCTCTAGCGGCTGCCTCCCAGCAGGAGGCAAACACTCATTACGTAACAGGACTGCGCTCCCCAGGCTCCAGTGGCGGTTACCACCTCTCCACTTTGACGGCTTACGCTTTACTGGTTTTGGAAATTGTTGGAATCCTGAGCTAGCAGCCAGCAAAGTGCAGAGGCGCCTCACAATCAGGCCCCAATCCAGGCTTTTGTGTGGGGATCAAAAGCTTAGGGTCAGGGAGAATTTTCCAGGAGCTAGTGTGAGGCAGCCCCTCGAAGGTCCCAGGTGGAGAGCCGACCGCAGAACCACCCACAGGACCTTGGGACAGTCCCTTGTTCTTCCAGTGCTTCACTGGAGCTGTCCCAAGACCTTAAATGCAAATTTCCAAACTGATCCTTCTGACCCTAATGTTCACCAACCATGCAGCTGGCCGCACATTAAAACCGCCTGGGGAGCTTTTCAAACTCCGATGATTGGCTGAACTACAGACCAATTAAATCAGGACCCAGGGATCAGAGGATCTTAAAGGACTGCAGTTGGGTGGCAAACAGCAAACCCAGGACCTACGCAGGTGCCGGGCTCCCTCAGGAGCATGGGGCGAATCCCCTGGGATGCCAGTGCAGCTTGGGGCGCAGTAGCGCTGGGATCGGTCCCCGGTTCTGCATTTCTAACCAGCACTCGGGCGATACGTGGATGACTCATGCGGAGGTGCATGGGCAGCACCAGGAACGGCAGGGACCTAGAATGTTGCCAAAGCAACCTCCAGCAGGGAAGGAGAGGGCTCTCCAGCCACGTCTGTGTGCCCATGCCCTGTGCACACTCCAGGCCGCCCTGACAGCACGGAGGGCCGCACTGATCCAAACGGTGCACAGCCCAGGGTGTGTGCACAGCCAAGCGCTAGCAAGCACCTGGTGTCACGCGCGGATTCTCAGCTGCACACTTCCGGGCGACCAAGGGGTCCGTGCGTGGGGGGAGGTGTGGCTGGCAGTGATGGCTGAGTGAGCCCCAGGCCAGGACGGGGAGGGTCCACCTCACCCGCGCACCTGCGCCTCTGTGGCGGTGCCTTAGGTATGTATCAGGCAGGAAGGGGTCGGGTGTCTGGGCAGTGTCAGGTCCTGAGGTCGGCTCGTCATCCAGCCAGGTCCACCGCACGGGGCTGTCCCTCACAGTCGCACAGGACGACTCCTGTGACGTGACGCAACTCGAGCACAACTTTGTGTCCGTGAAAACACACCTCAGGATAAAGCCGCCTGCTACCGCTAGGCACAGAGGGGGAGAGAACAGCAAGGGGCCCAAGACGCAAGGTTCCGTGCCAGAAAACAAGCAAAGCAGTGGCATTGGTAGCCACCAACATCCCCAGTGATCTGTCCTGCCGTCAGGCTCCAACGTGCCCTGCCCAGTGAGTGCCAAGGGCTCTGCGTATCTCCTGGAACGCATCGGGAGCCTGAGGACTGTGCCCACAGGGTGCCCATTTCACAGACAAAGCAGCTGAGACTCAGAGAGGTCTGACTGGGAAGGGGAGAGCCAGGGTGCAGACCCAGGTCTCTAACTCTGAGCCATGCTCCAGGCTGGGCAGCCCCCGCCCCCTGCCTCCTCTGAGGACAGCAGACGCCAGTGGATACCAGCTACAGGTGCTAACTACAGCCCGCTCCTGAGCCAGGCATTTTAAGGGCACTTTTTTTGTAAACAACTGAAAGGCCAGCAAGCCAAACACAAACAGGGGACTCCCATGAGCTTACTCCCCACCAGACCCGGATATTAACTTCCCAACGGCCCCTACCCTGAACTCCAGGTGGCCCATCCCCACCCCAGTCAGGCCTTAGGACCTGGCTGTTCCCAGCCCAGGGGGACCTAGGAGGCTACAGGGCCACCCACCAGCCCGCCCTGCCCTGCCTGGCACCACGGGCGCCTGCTGTTTTTGCCTCTATGCGAGGCGTCGGCGAGGGCTCCGCAAGGGCTGGGAGTGACCAGAACGCAGAGACAGCACCGTGGTGTCCCCAGTTCCAGGGCGCTCTGAGTCCCTGTCCTGAGCCCTGCTCCGCGCGGGCTTCACAGGCTCTGGGAGACCCAGGAGGGCACAGGAAGTCCCCAGTGCCCACCCAGGGCATGGCGACGCCCGGGGACCCAGCCCCACTGTTGGGCAGGGAGGCCACGGGTCAGCAGGGAGGACTGGACAAACCTGGGTGGCAGCAAGCATCCCGAAGACCACCAGGGACAGGGCAGAGGGCCCCGCACCAGCAAAAGCCTGGAGGTGGGAAGGGCCGGCATCGGAAATGCTGAGGAAATCACTCGGGCCTGGTTAGGAAGCAGCACGGCTCTGGACCAAGTGCCGCCTGTTTGTTTACTCCACACCGGGACCCAGTGTGCAGAGACGAACCCGACGGCCCTGACCTCCTAGTGATAAACTATAATCACTCTAGTGAGCGCTGTGTCCCCGTTTTCCAAATGCAGATACCGGCCTGGAGAAGTGACATGATTTGCCCAACACCACAGCCCACCCACCGGGGGCAGGACTCCACTGGCAGCATCCCCACTCAGGTCAGGGTACTTGTAGACTGACTACCTGGTAATTGGCTGAGGGAAGAGGAGATTGGGAGGAGGGTAGGATTGGGGAGATAACACAGAGAGGAAGCAGGCTGGACTAGAGGGGGCAGATTAGAGACTAAAGCAGCAGAGAGGCTGTGGCCACAGCTAGGCAGCCATGATGAGTGAAGGCAAGACCAGCACTGCCGTGTTCAGGTGCACAGGTTACGCACTGCACCACTGCCAGAGGTACCATTCTTATAGGCTGCTCATGAGACAAGCTGCGTCGCATAAGGACCTTAGCTAATAGATAGAGGGGCCAGACTCACACAGCATGGGGTGTGCAGCCACAAGCCTTTCAGTGTCTGGGGAATGGCTGCCAGCCATAGCCCACACTGTTATCTCGATCCCACATTTTGTTTCCTCCTGGGGAGGAAGTGGCAGTTATGCCCCAGACATACTTCACACCCTGGGCGCACTGGGCCAGGGAGTTTTGCATTTCTGCGACAAAGATGCTGATGCCAGCGAGGTTGGCAAACCGCCCTGCCTTCCCGGCTGGGAGGCCCCAAAGGTGCCTGTGTGTGTTTAACAGCCCCGCTCCACCCCCAGGCCTGCAGCAAGACGCTGGCTGACTTTCCAGCCTCCTGTCCTTTCTCCCTGCTGGGGCAGGGTCGGGAGGGGAGCGTGGGGCGGCCTGGGAAACGTCAGAGCTTCTGGCCACCCACCGTCCCGGGGTGAGAAGGGTGTGCATGAGCGTCTGACCCTGCCCTGAGACCTCGGACAAGGGATGGAGCGCCGAGCCTCAGCATCCGCATCAGGACCTACCAGGCTGGGCTAGCCGAAGGGGCACAGGCGGGGTGGTAGTTAAAGGGTCCACTCCATGGACACCCCAAATGTCCCCCCTGCACCCGTGCTCTGTCTGGCTTGTACTGAGCACTGGGCGCCAGGGAATGGTCCCTGGGCTGAGACTGGAGATAGCAGAAAGGTAAGGGGTGATGCGGGGACAGACAGGGACAGATGGAGACGGAGAGGGGGAGGAGACAGACAGACAGCCGAGGCACAGAAACGGAGAGGGGTATGCCGAGGGAGGGACAGACAGATGACCAGGCAGACAGGACAGTGCTGCCGAGAGGTGTGGCTCCCAGCCCCTATCTGCGGGCTTGGGCCCTCAAAACCCTGGGGCTCTGAGTGTGACCCCCTAGCGGGCAGAGGGCAAACAGCCATTCCGAAACTGGGACTTCGAGGCTGGGCCTGCAGACGCCCGATGGAAACTAGAAGCAAGATGAAGCCTGGCGCGTCTGCCTTCGCTTTACGCAGGTTGCCTCTCCCTCCTCATCTGCCTTCAAGACTGAGGACACCAACACAGGAGTGACTAAGTAATTTTCAGGCTCTGTGGGGACATCGACTTCCAGCCCCCTTGGAGCTTCCAGCCACTGTCCCAGATCTGCCATCTCACCTCGGAGCCCAGGGAAAGCAGAGCCTCAAAGACCACCACACTTGGAGATCATGCCCAAGCAGGAGCTGTCATCTTTTTTTTGGGGGGGGGGTGGGTACTGGGAATCGAACTTGGGACCTTGCGCTTGCCAGGCAGGCACTTGTGCCGCTGGGCTATATCCCCAGCCCCCGTCATCTCCTGATGGAAACCCAACTGCCCCTTCCTGCAGGGACGCTGACTCCCGGAACCTTGCAGAACAGTCCCAAGATACCAATCAACCAGGCTAGGGCTCACCAGGGTTACCGACCCCACCAGCTATGCAAACTCCCAACCCTCGGCTTGATTCTCCCCACCTATGAAAGCCCAAAGCTTCTGTCAGTCCCTCAAAGACAGATCTTGCAACTCATCCGTCTTCCCAGCGCAGCCACGCTGGCCCCAGGTGGGCTCCCTGCCCGACATCCATGTTCCTCTCCTTGACCGGTGTTTTGGGACAAGTGACCGAGCCTGGTCTGTTGGGATCCACAGAGTGTTCCGTCTGTCCCCACAGCGGCAGGTGAGGGGCTCCCACTAGAGGCGCCTCCCTAGCTGTCCTTGACACCCCTGGGGAGAACAAGCCAGCTGCTGTGACTCCGCCCTGCACTGGGTCTTCCCAGCTTGTTTATGGGATCTGTAAAAGACAAGCCCTTCCGCCTGACCCTGGACAGGTGGCTGATCTTGCCAGGGTCCAGCTTTCTCCCCACTGTGACAGCCTGCCCCCCCGTAATCCTTTTCCAATAAAGTTTCTTCTTATAAAATCTGAATTTGTTGTTTTCTTCCCTGACATCTGTGAAACTGTTTATAATAAAAATCACATTCATGGGGCTGGGGATATAGCTCAGTGGCATAAGTGCCTGCTTGGCAAGCGCAAGGTCGCGAGTTCAATCCCCGGTACCACAAAAAAAAAAAATCACATTCACAGTTGGACCAATGAGAAAAATAAATTATATATGGGGGACAGAGTAACTAAGTTGAAAGAGTCTCTTGACCCACCAGTCTTACTAGCTTGAGGTTTTCTAAATTCCGAGACAAAAGAGAGAGGGTGAGGGGTTAGTTCTACTCTAATTCTTGTCCTGAAGGAAGAAGGACCTCATTTCACCGGGAAGGACTTCTTTCTTCTCATGCAAAATCCTAAAAAGAATGCACTGGATCAGGTCGTCAAAAGTTTCTGGTAGCAATTTTAAGGAAGTGAAGAAATCTGTTGAGGGCTATTTTTACTTAGCCAAGAGAGTAGAGATGAAATACGTAACAAAGCAGACATTTGTGCAAGAAGGGAAGCTGCACCGTGCCCCTCCGGACAGAGAACTTGGCATCAGGGCAGAGTGGAAAGTCCAAAGGAACAGGCACTTTCTCAGGGATCGCCCGGAGCTGGTGCCCGCCTGTGGATGCAGGACAGAGCTCTCCAGCGGGAAAGGGCAGCCACCTCCTGCCGTGAGCCCTGAAGCCTGCAAGGCCCGTGGTCTGAGGCTCCCCTGGGGAGAGTGAGGGGGGTCTCCTCCAGCCTACACTGAAAACTCTCCTAAGGAGAAGGGTCTGGCAGGAAGGACAGGAAGCAGGCAGGGTTGGGCGGTACTGGCTGTCAAGTTGAATCTTCAGTGCAGAGGGCACTCAGCTCCTAGCCCAGGGCCAGAGGAGGCCTAGTTCAAGCTGCCTGTGTGTACAAAGCATGGGGTAGGGGGAAACTGAGGCAGGGACCTGAAGAGGATTAGAATATGTTGCTCCAAACACACCACTTTGGCAGAAGGATTATTTTGAGCTAAAGGTGAATGTCGAGAAACAGCAGACAAGCTCTCTGCCCTCCCCCACACGCCTGAAAGCAGGGCATACATTTCCCTTCATAAAAAGATACACATTTTCAGCAGGGTGTCATAGTACGTGCCTGTAATCCCAGCACTCTGGAGGCTGAGGCAGCAAGATCATGAGTTCAAGGTCAGCCTAGGCTACATAGCAAGAATTTGTCTTAAAAAATTTTTTTTTCTTTTTTCATTTGTAGGATGTCCCTATCCGCATGAGGAAGAGGAGAATAGATCACATGGGAATCTGTATAACATATCTAAGCAATCTTACCTGACCTACACTCCTAGCTACCCTCCCATAATTTACTGCCTCAGGATCCCAAATTCCTTTATCTTTGTCTAGCCACTGCCCAAAATGGATCTGCTTTTGCAAAAATGCCATATAATTACCCACCTATCTAATCATCTCTATAGGCTTTCACTTTTTTTTTTTTTTGTCTTTTTGAGACAAGGTCTCCCTATGTAGTTCAGGCTGGTCTTGAGCTCACTTTGTAGCCCAGGCTGACCTCAAACTCGCAACAATCCTCCTGCCTCAGCCTCCTGAGCACTTTTTTTTTTTTTTTTTTTTTGAGACAGGGTCTCGCTATGCAGTTCGGGGTGGCCTTGAATTCACTATGTAGCCCAAGCTGACAAGCCTCCTGCCTCAGCCTCCCGAGTGCTGAGACTGCAGGTTGTACCACCATGCCTGACTTCACTTCTTTTCTGTGATGACCCTTGCACATAAAAATTGTAAATATCAATAAAACTTGTATTCCTTTTTTTCTTGCTACTCTGTCTTTTTCCAGTTTAATTTGCAGATTCGAGGTATAAAACCTAAGAAGGGATGTAGCTCAGGGGTACTACTCAGTTAGATAAAATTAATACACAACCAGAAAGGGACTGGGCTCTCAAGGAGATCAGTGAGGTACAGACATCAGAATTGTAGCTGGAGGTCCATCAGAAGAAAATAAGGCCTCTTGATTAAAGTCACAGTGGCCAGATCTATATGCTTCCCTAAGGGGCCAATGGAAGTTTGAGATTACACAGCAACTGGTACCACCCTTCTAGGATTTCCCTTAGAAGCAGACCATTATCTCACTAGGGGTGGGGCATCCTCTGTACCCACTAAGACTAAGATTACTAGCTGGGCATGGTGGCGCACACCTGTAACCCTAGCACTCTGGTGCCTGAGGCAGGAGGATGGTTGTAAATTTGAGGCCAGCCTGAATTACATAAATGAGTTCAAGGCCAGGCTGAACTACACAGCAAGACTGTGTCTCAAAAAAAAAAAAAAAAAGGCTAAGATTACTAAGAGTAAGACTAAAGACAAGACTAAGACTATAGATTATCAACCTCGGCAACTGATACCATCCGTGTGCCCTTGCTGTGTGCCCTGCTTCCCTACTGGATCAATAATAGCTCAGTGGTTATACCTGTAATCTTACTGGTTGATTATAGTTTGACCCACGTTGTACCCATCTCATGATTTTTGCCCTATAAAACATTCTTGGAGAGATGACCCGGGCGGCAACCTGCTAGGGACCCCTCTGGTCTCTCACGAGCTGCTTCCATTCCCCAATAACCCTTTCCTACTCTTAACCTCCTTTGTCCTTTGTAATTCATTCTTCGATTTCAGGGGCCATGAACTTAGCACATCTGACATCTAACAGGTTGAGGGGTATATCTCTCTTATATCAGCACCCCCAAAACAAAGACTAAACCCCTAAGAGGGTAGAGGAGAAGTAATTGTCTCCTGCAGACTGGCTGAATCTGGACATGCTCTCAGTCTGGTCTCCTGTCTATGATGTGGCACTGACCAAAGAGACTTAGAACTGATACATGGCCTGGGGACCTCCACGGTGTGCGCAGAGCCCATACCACCAGCACTTTCCTCTCAAGAGGCAAAATTTGGGGCTGGGTGTGGCGGCACACAGCTATAATTCAAGCACTCGGGAGGCTGAGGCAGGAGGATTGTTGTGAGTTCGAGACCAGCCTGGGCTACAAAGTGAGCTCAAGGCCAGCCTGAACTGCACAGCGAGACCCAGTCTCAAAAAAAAAAAAAAAAAAAAAAAAAAAGCAAAATTGGGGTCTTCAGATGTAGCTCAGTGGGAGAGCACTTGCCTAATATATGTGAGGCCCTGGATTTGATCCCTGGCACTGCAAAATTAAAATACAGCAAAATAAAATAATTGATCATGCCCTGTCTTATATTATTCTCAGCTGTTTTCATTTTCCAGGTCAGGGGTAGGAATGTAGCAATGATCTGAACCAGAACAGCTGTTTACCTCTCTCAGGGAATGTTTGTGCATTCTTCCTGAGCAACTCAGGCTCTGAAGGTGCGGTTTCCAGGAGATCGGGCCTAGCCCCAGGGGAGGGTCTGGCCAACCGGGTGGGCCTGGTTCTGCAGGAGCAGCAGGCCTGGGAGGGGGCAGTGCATGTGTGGGAGGAGGCCCGGGACACAGGCCTGGCCACTAGCTGGTCAGCATGCTGCGCAAAAGACATTCACTTAAGAATAATATACCCTGTAGTCTACGCATTATGAACGGAGACACTGCCGCATTTTCTAGCCCCCCTGGGCGCTTTCCACACATTCCCATTTTTCATTTTTACAAGAACTCTCTCAAGAAGACATCAGTTCCACCCCCACTTAGCAAGTGAGGGAAGTGAGGCTCTGAGAGGTTAAGCACCTTGCTCAGGGTGCCCGACTAGCATGGCACAAACCCAGCATGTTCAGACCCCAAAGCCCCTGCTCTCCCTAAATATAAATTAACTGTTTAGCCCTGGGCATGGTGGTATGTCCCTATAATCCCAGCTACTTGGGAGGCTGAAGCAGGAGGACTGCTTGAACCCAGGAGTTTGAGGACAGCCTGGGCGTAAAGTGAAATCCCCACCTGACAAAACAAAACAACAAAAATAAAGAACCCTTTCCCTCCGGAGTCCATCAAGTAAGTCTACCCCTCCCCATCCCTGAAGCCAAAGCTTGCCTCTGGGCTTGGATGGCAACACCTCCCAATTCCCAGCCAGGGCAGCGGCCCCAACCTGGCTGGGACAGTGGCCCGGCCTGGCTTCTGCAGGTCCACAGCCCCCAGGAGTCTGCCTGGGGGAGAGGCATGGGAGAAAGCAGAGCGGTGACAGAATCAAGAGGCTGAGCACACATGCCGGCAGAGTCAGCCCCTCTGTCACAGCAGCAGAGATGCAGGGAACAGAAACCTAGCGGGCCTCGCCACATGCCAAGGTGACGGCTCTGTAAATCACTGTTAGAAGCAACAGGAGGCATCGCAAGGAGGAGGAGCGGGAGGAGCAGGAGGGGGGGGAGGAGGACCGGGAGGAGGAGCGGGTAGGGAAGGGAGTCCTCCGTGCTTTCCAGGGCTTCCTGTTGTTGGGCAGACAGTTAGACATTACGGGGCCTGGGGGAGGGGGCGCTCCAAAGAGCGCACACTGACCATAGTAAAGAACAAAGACCTCAGTGTATAAAGCACTTACAGTCATCGCGTAGGTCTCAAACCCAAGGGACCCACAGGGCACAATGACATCTCAAGGTCACACCTTATGCACATTCCTCCTGATACCTGGCCACCTGGCCTGCTCACCCCAAAGCAAGACGCGCCGCATTCCAGGCTGCTCTACCCCACAGCCTAATGATAGCAGGAAAGGAAATGTTCCTTAAAACCCTCCTGTCTCCAGCTGGGACCCGGTTTAAATTAAGAATTTATCTTCTGTAAGTTTCTCCCGTGGTTGGAACCCCTCAGCAAGCCCCGTCACAGTGTGGAGCTGGGGCGTGAGTTCTGCTGCCTCTGAGCTAGTCCCCCGACTGCTCCTGGGTTCCCAGGTGGGAGTCTGAGGTAGGATAGAAAAAATGAAAACTAGACAAAAAAGAGACAAGGAGATCAAGATGTTAAAATTGTAGTTGGGAAAAAAAAAAAACCACTGCAGCTTCAGGAAACAAAAGTTACTCAAGCCTTTTTTCCCCTGCCTAAGAAACATTCAAA